TGCAAATTACATTTCTACTCTGTAAAAGTGACTCTTTGTGTGAGTGTTGATGCTTGTATTTGTGTTTAAAATGCACTTCTCATGTAGTAACATGATGCTGCCACTAGAGTGTGATCACACCACGTGCCATGCAGGAAAAGAAACTCTCCTTCCAATTCCAAGACACACACACACACACACACACGCACACACGATCCATTCACTCCAGCATGCAACTATTTTACACGATGTCTAATAAAAGGAGATTTAAGGGAATTTTTAGGCGTTCAGAGGTCTCGCTCGCTCCTTTTAGAACACACTTCCTCCGACTAGCAGGGAGGGAAATTTCCTAAAAAACAATAAAGCTTTGCCATAAATGAGAGCTGACAAGAGAACGTTACCTCCACTTCTGTCTCCATGGAAACTTGCCTCGCTGGTCATTCTGTGGATATGGATGATATAGACCGGGGGAACCACACACAGCTCTCCGTGCATCAATCCACTTAGCACTTCAGTGTGGCTCCTCTACAACAGGATGTCACAGCATCTGGATTGATTGAATTTATTTCACTGAGATGAAATCAAAGGCCCACCACCTGACCCTGATGAGGATGTGCTTTTGAATCCACTTGTAACCTTTTTTTTTTCTGTCTTTAAGGAGGGGAAATAAAAAAAATGAAGTGATGTGAAAAATACGATCGGAGACCTGTGTCTAATCGCTGCGTCTAAATCTAATAGATACCATCAAACATGTGTTATCTGTGGCGCGTCGTCGCTACCTTTGAGTCTCACTCTCTGTAACTGAGTAGTATGATGCCCTCTAAAGATCTGGAGAATGCACACTTTTTTCTCACCCCCCCCCTCCCACCCCCCAACCCTCGTCTTTGCTGTAGTTGCATAGCAACAGAGGAGCTGCTAGCTCCAGTTGTGTTGTGGTGGGAGCGTGCTGCACAGGGAGGCACTGGCTCAAGATTAAGCCGGTCTCTGCTTCAATTATGAATGGGCTTCCACCGCCACACGGCTCCAAAATGGCACCACTCGGATTGATAAGACATTGAGGAACTCTTCGGTACACTTAACTCTTTTACTTCTCTCCCCCGAGGAGGGGAGGGGGGAGGCCGAGTTTGACTTTAATCAGAAGTATTGAACTTAAATGATTAGAGGAAGTAAATGAATAATTAACTGCAGGAAGAGGCATGGTTATGATAAGACCCTTGTTGATGGAAATATGCGAGGTTAATGATTGGGGTCAGTCTTGAGAGCAAATTAAAGAGTCTCCAGTCTCACAAAGCTACCACTTTAGCAGCAAATGGGGGTTAGTGTGTGGTGCATGCTGAAGTGGGGGGATGAGAGAGAGGGGGGGGATATGCATTCTTGTAATCTTTTACTATATTTAACTTTGAGAGGCGAAATTAGAAGAAATCGTACAGAACTACCAACCAGCAAAAGTGCCATTAACACCAACTCTGTATCTGCTAATGACTTCGGCGCTATCTAGAAACCGTCAAAAATAACAGCCGAGCTAATCTTCTGCAACTTGTATTTTTTATTATTGCAACCAACTGGAAGACAATACATCACATAAACATCATTGTAGTTTTTCAGAAAATGGAAAACAAAATAAAACAACATTTATATATTTTTTGCCACGGTATTGGACAACGTTGATATTTACATGTAGTGATGAAATAGGTCTTGAAATCATTCTTTGGCAATATGATTGCACAATAAGGAGAAAATTGAACATTTACTGAAAAGAAAAAAAACAAAACAAACAAAAAAAAACCAACACCTGGGTGTAACTCTGCATCACATCTCACAGATCAATAACAGTTTTGCATTTTGACATCTCTAACCTATGGCTTTCCAATATTCAGCTCAGACAGTCACCGAAAAAAAAAGAATGGCAGTATTGTAGATAATTTTGTCAGAGAGCAAAAAAAAAGCAAAACAGAAAATAAAAAGGCTGCATTAAAAACATCGACAAATAAAAAAAAATGGCAACTATTTCTTTTAGAGCATTTCGTCGTACGTTTGGCAGGTTTGCAAGAAACACTTGTTTTATGGGGCTTTTTCAGGCAGTGAAGTGTTATTTTCTTTGCTTTAAAATGTCCTTGGTATATTTTATGTGCTGCTCTGTTTTCTTTCTTTTTTTGTGTGTTTTTTTTGTGTTTTTTTTTTCCAGGACTCATAGGTCAGGAGTTCATCTGTCACTGAGTCAGAGGAAACAAAAAAGCAGTTGCCAAAGCAACACATTCTCCCTTTCGACATGCCTCTTGCCAACTGAACACGTTACTAGTCACCACAACGGTGGGTTGTTACATCAAGTACAGCAGAGTGCTTGACCTGGGCCACGGGAGCACTCAGACAGATATCAGACGAGAGACGGATGGCACACAACAAGAACACTGACAGTGTCTCCTTTTAGCCTTTTTTTTATATGTCGGCATGGATACCATACAAAATGCAAAGCCAGTGATGCATGCTACAGGTGGCAAAAGACTGTACCAGTGGATGGGACATGCATTTGTTTTCCTGCTTGGCTCGCTGACAATCGCTCAGCGTCTACTCAGCTTTAACAAAACCTTGTCTGACTCTGCTGCTACAACCCTTGATTTCACCTGTGAAGCTGCTCTTATTTTGAAAAACATCTCTGCAAATGAGGGGAAATGAACTCTTTAATGCAGCATCTATAATCACCTCAGATGCAAAGAAGCTCACTGCTGCCCTTGTGAATTTCAAATTAGTGTTTTCATGACCCTTAGTGAGACACAGCTTGCAGAGTGGCAAAAGGTAAAAAAAAAACAAACATAAAATATAACCTCTGATCTCCACACTGGGCTCTTGACACTGTATGCAACTAATTCCATTCACCAAAGGGTTAAAAAATACTGTATGTAAATTAGAAAAAACAAACTTGTGACGCTGCGTTTCAGTTCCTCCCGAGTAGCCTTTTTGGAGATATGAGGTTCTTTCAGGAGAGTTTTTCCCCTCCATGCCCGTCTGATTCAAACATTTACACTGAACAATGTCGATGGAAAGTAAGGACACATGTACATTTACACACTGGAGAAGAAAAAAAAACAAAAAAAAACAATACTGTTATAAATAAAGACAGTTCTGTCGTGACAACAGAGGTACTGAGGGCAGGCAGGCAGGCAGGCACAATGTTAAAGGGTGTGTGTTCCTGGGCACACAAACTCACACACTCCACAGACGTGTTCTGAAATAACACTGGGGTTAACATTGAACACCAAAAAATCACTGTACAGGCAGAAGAAGATGGAAGCCCACCCCTAAGAGGTGATTCAGCCGGCCTACATAGCCTGAACCCGAAGCCCAGAGGTGGCACCCTCGGGGGCCTCTAATTGCAGAGTGATCTCCCACGTTCCTCCCTGAAGACGTGTCTTTGAAAGCCCCGCTCAGAAAAGAGAACCCAAAAGATTCGAAGAAAAAAAAAGAAAAGAAAAAGAAAAGAAAAGAAAAGAAAAAAAAACCTCCAATATAATCACGGGTATAAGAATTGGCGGCAAAACTTTTTTTCTTTCCTCTAGGATCAAGGTTTATATGAAAATAAGTCATGCTTCATGCTAAATACATCGTTTATCTTACATGATCTTTGAATAAAAAAGATTTGCTTTTTATCTTATTTACAAGCACCCATGCAATATAACTGAGAAAGTCCTGCAGGTCAAATTGCTTCAATTAAGAAAGGAAAAAAATAAAATATTTTCTAACCTTTTTACAGAGTTGTCCACACGGGACAAATTGCTTATATCTTTATGAGGGTAGAGTGAGGGTAAACAGACACAAACAGAAATCTAAACCCACAGTTTATGTATATAGTTCTTTGACATTGTCAAATGAATAGGAAGGTGTGGTAGCTACTGGTAGCTATGATATCTATACCAGGTGTCTACGTCTATGGACAGAAGTACTGGGGGGTGGGGGTGGGGGGGGAGTTTTAGGGACGTTTACATTATGCAACAACAACAACAAAATGAAGGAGATATTGCCTCAGACCCGGCACACTATCCATCTCTATGGTGATAAACATGACCATTTTTTTTATTTTAATATATTTATTCTTAAATACTATGAGTGCTCTTGAAATAAACCATGTCTTTACCCATGATGCTTTTATTATAAGTGGCGTAAAAATGATCTTAAGTGCATGAATATATATCACATTGGGTTTTACATTTAGTTTGACACTTAAGGTCACTCTCTCTTCTAGCTCTTTACTACTATGCCTTCGTTTCTTTTTTGTGTGGTTTTTTTTTTGGGGGGGAAGGTTTTTTTTTTCTTCCTTGTCTCGTCAAGCTGTCGTATCGGCTACATGAAGCAACCTGGTCGCTTTATTCTTTGGCACAGTCTCACATTTGTGCTCGTGGATGTAGGAGAGTGATGCTAGTGAGCGGGGCCGAGAGAGCTCTAAGTCTTGTTGAATAGGCTGGGGTCTCGTCGGCTCGAGCCGTCGTCGCCGGCATCACTGCAAGATTGCTACAGATTCACATAGAAACAAACAGGTAAGACAAACAGCCATCTTCTCGTTCCTGCACTGTACGGCTCCTCGATGTGACTCGGTTTTGTCGTGTTCGACTTGTCCAAATTAGTGACAAAACATGCTTTATTTTAACTTTTTTTTTTTTCTTTTTTTTTTGTATGGCTTTCATCCCCTTTTAAACAACAAAAACAACAAAGACACATGAGAAATACCCAATGATGTTAGTGTTGCTGAACATGTAGGAAAACATAGATTTTTGATATTGCCACAAATAAGTAGGATTCACCTAATGCCCTGCAGATAGATAGAGGGAGATGACAAGTGTCCGTTGAGACTAATGCTGTAGTAACGTTACCTGTTGACCTATTTGTGTGTGTGTTGTATATGTGTCTGTGTGTTAATGTGTGTGCGTGCTTTGAGCTGTGTGCGTTTTGCATGACTATGTATTTGTTCTATGTGTGTGTGTCTTAGTTTCTCAGGGCCTCTTTCTGCTCCTTCTGGCCCTTGGCGGTGCGGTTTGTGATGTTGTTGAGGCAGGCTCTGACCCCCGCCAGGTGGAGCAGCGACCCCGCCGCCTCCTTCATCTCCTCGTCGTCGCTCTCCGGCGGCTTCTCCACCGCCGCCGCGCGCCGCTTCTTCAGCGGCAGCGTGTCGCTAATGCCCCTCGCTCGGTTTTTGGTCCAGGGCAAACTGCTCCCCGCCAGAGTCCCAGCTCCCGCCCCCGAACTACGTCTCTGTCCGCGCAGGGGCTGCTGGGAAATGTAGGTAGTAGTGGCGGCAGTGGTGATGTGAGAATCCAGTGGGATCTCCCGGGGCTCGGGTTTGACGTCTGATTGGATCTCCACGGCGATGATGTCGTCGTCGTCCAGCGGGGAGGAAGGGGCGGCGACCTGGGAGGAGCACAGCCTGCTGGGGGATTTGGCGGTGCTGTAGGTGTGGTCGTCCTGGAGGTCCTCGCTGCAGGGCGGAGGAGAGTAGCGGGATGGGCTGTCCTGTCCTCGGCTCAGATAATCTCCCAGGGATGATCTGCATGAAGCAAAGACACAGAGTGTGATATTGTTACTCCTGCTGTCACACCGCCAGCCAGGTGGCCCGCCTGCCTGCCCGTATATGCTCCACTGAAGCTGCTCCAGTTTGCATTTGGCTAGAAAGCAAAAAAAAAAAAAAAAAAAAAAAATCAAGTGATAATCTATCACCCTCAAATAGCCCCCTTGGGCCTCATGTGCACATTTCGCAGGTCAGGTTAAAACCTTGTATCTCTGAAAAGAGTCAGCCTTTCCCTTTAGAAATGAGCAGACTCATTTTCAGATTGCCACCTATGCATTTTTCAAATGACACAGTGCATTCTGAGCAGCTCTCATTCTCTCTAAGGTTGTGGAACTTGCTCAGCACAAAAAGAACCTTGCAAACTCCAAAGTCAGAACAGCACAGAGTGACAATTCTGCAGCGAGGCCATTTAACCACTGTCCACTGTACATTGTATCGCAACATATTTTGCTCTATTAGTCAGGAGACACTTTACTCTGTAAAGCATTAAAGGACAGGGGGGTACCCTGACAACCGATAAATCAAAGGGAGCTTCAGCAGCGTGGCCTGTCCCCCGGACATTTTCTCCTTCAGAATGAGAGGGTTAGCATATTAATATCTTATAAGAAAAACATGCACCCCTTACAGTGATCAAATATTCACTGCATACGCTTAGTGAGCCTTTGGGTATGTTTAATTCATTATGCGGTGCAGGCCATCATACTCTTATGCTCCTGTGATGGATGTGCATGTCCATGCATGCTCCAAATGTTCTTTGAATCATGAGGCCTCTCCCTCTAATAAACCTGTTTGTGTGTGAGAGACCGTTATATAAACACACCTGGATAAAATGTTCTGCACAGCGGGGAGCGTGTGAATGCCTCTGACTTTTGAACACAATAAAGATGTAATTATGTAAACTATCAGTGGAAAATTTCGGTCCTACATCTGTTTTGTGTGTTTTTTGTATGTGTGCATGCGGGTTAAGGTGTGTCTGTGTACGTCTGTGAGGGAATGTGTTTGTGCAGGTAAAGCCCTGACTGACAATAATTATATGGTTGAGGGCAACGGGAGCAAAGTTTACCAACCTTATGGCCGAGGTTCTGCTCCCCACAGGGCTTACAGGTAGGGGTCTGATAACAGGGAAGAGGGCCTGGCTCCTGACACGGGCGCCATTTTGGATCACACCGCGAGGAACTGCAAGACAGAGCAGCAGAAAAAAAACCAAAAGTTAAACAATATGTACAGAAAGATCCACACCAGATTAAGAAACAAATCAGCTTGAAAGTAGAGAGGAAACACAGTTAAAACTCCTCCAAAAACCCGATCGGATCTCGATAAGACCCCCGGAGCAGCTCGATGAGCATTCACTGACCATCTGAGGAGGCCAACAGGGCAATATTGATGAGCAAGGCAAGGTTAAATTGAGCGGGAAAGCGTCATAAATGAGTTAAGGCCGCTGCGAATCATTCAATTACCAACGACCGCTGGGCTCGGCTAAATCTAGCCTGTCTGAAGCTGTGGGATGAACGGCAGAGGCTGGAACTTAAAGAGGGATGCTGCACATTTTAAAATTTGAGAGACGCATTTGTCTTGTTTCGACATAAAACTGCTCTTTAAATCTATTTTTTCAGCATAAAATACAACAAATTCACAAAACGAACAGAAGCTTTTCTTTTAAAACACAATTATTAAAACAAAAGTTGGTTTCCAAACAGTTTTCAGGGCTGTAACGGTCTTTTATTCTTTAGTTTTTTACGCTTTAATCGGCAGATAATGTTCTGAATTGGTCATCTAATGATGAATTGCCAGTAAACACAGGTTTATATTTGAATAAAGCTGCAGCTAACAACTGAATAAACCCCTAAAAGTTCATCTTTGTGGTTCAAAGTTGCCAATTTAGAAGTTTTTTCCCCAAGTGTGATATAGAATATGTAGAGCTATGAAGCCCCTGTTGCTTTCTCCACCCATCCCTCCACAACTCGCTGCAGCTTGAGCACACCAGCTCACCTACAACTCTGCTCAATGTAAAACCACTCTACGATACACAAGAGCAAGCTGTTATATTGTAAGAGCAATAGAGCCGTTCACGTTTTAGCCACAAAACGATTCAACAGAAGAATAATGATACAGAAAGCCAACAAGGTAAAAGAAAAGAAAAAAAAGACATTCACGGCAGGAGTCTTTAAATAATGAAAAATGCCTGCTACGTATTCTCTTTCATTTCAGAGTCAATGGAGATGTCATCGAATTTCCTATTTAATCTGATCCTAATTCTAAAGATATTAATGCAACAATGACTTGAAACATAGACTGTGTGTGAAGATGAATGGACCATTCATGGCATCACCCATTGGTTTCCTCAACAGCGATTTGAAAGCTCAGCGTGCCTCCAGTTTTTTTTGGACCACTTCCACCGAATCTAAAAATGAGCAAAGAGGTTGAGCGCGAGTGGAGCTGAGGGGGACCACGCAAACGTCTCCGGGATGGGGACTGGACAATAACAGCACCCGCTTGTCACTCAAAGAGCCCCCCAGTTACACATAACTTTAAACCTTAATAGAACTTAAACAGGTGAGTTGTATAAAAGTTCACCTCTTGTACCGTGGTCATAAATGAGCCACAGAGGCCAGTATATGGCTGCTAACATGTTCAGTTCTGCTGTAAAGTTGGACATTTTAACATGGACGTCTATGAGGATTGACTCATTTTCGGAAGCGGCCTCAAGTGGCCGTCTGAGGAAGTGCAGCTCTTGCCACTCGTAGAACGGCTTCATTTATTAATCCTGGATGTTGCTGCTTGCATAAAACACAGAAAAGCAACAGAAAATTTGGTTGCAAGCTTAAAACTTTACAATAATCTGATTCTGAAAACAACTGATTATGTTCTTTGTCCATTGAGTAATTACTTATTAAACTAAATGTCACTGTTCTAATTGAAGAGTTTGTTTTGTATTAAATTTGTGATTAACTAAAGTTGAGTGTTCCAGCTGAACTTTTTTTTTTTTTTTTAAACTCCATCAGTGGCAAATTAATTGAAGGTGGAATTGTAATGGTGCGGAAATGCAAACATCAGGACTGCAACTAACATTTATTATTATTATTATTGTTGTTGATTAATCTGCTACTTTTTAAATAATCAATTCGTTGTTTGATATCAATGTCAGAAAATGGTGAAAAATGTCGAGCAGTGTGTTTCCTAAAGCCAAAAATGGCGTCCTCACATGTTTCGCTTCATCCACAACCCTAAAATATTCAGTTTGCTGTACTTGAGAAGAAAAGAAACCAGAAAATATTGACATTTAAGGACATGGAATCAGAATATTTGTCCTTGAAATTACTTAAACTAACTGATTATCAAAATATTTGGCAATTTATTTACCAGTTGACACAGCTGATCACTCAAATATTTGCGGCAGCTCAAGCACAACTCTATCATGATTATGTCCCACACATCACAGACCTCCGAGATCAGACTGTGTTTCGATGTGGATGCAGAAAAAGAGTGCAGAACAATTACTAAAAGTTCCCAGGGGCGGTGGGCTCTTTGTTCAGGGAGAAACTCTTCCAACAGTCGTCCATCTGGTCAAAGTCAGTAAGCAGGCAACAGGAGCGTTGGTCAGGGAGGGAAAAGTGTACCCAACCGTCACGCTAACCAGCTTTCAAAGAAACCAAAGAACCTGACAGAAGGACGACTCGACAGCACTCCATCTAAGTGCCATCTCACCGCACTGAAAAAACAGGCATATGGCAAACCCACCTGGAGTTTACCAAATACTACGTCCTGTGATCTAATGAGACTCAGATTGAATTCTCAGGCCTGACAGCCTGGCATTTCAACTGGCAGAAAAAAAAAAAAAAAACAGGTGCTGCTTATCACCTGGAGAATGTGGACACCACACTGAAGCATAATACAGAGAGGTCATTGAAGAAAACCCCACAGAACGGAGCCTTCCAGCGACACAACACCCTGAACCGCACAGCCAGGATAATGGACTGGCTTTGGAACAAATCCCCGAGTATCCTCTAGTGGCCCGTTCAAAGCCTGGACTCGAAGCCATTTGAAAATCTGTAGGGAGAACTGAAGATGACGGTTTACGCTCCTGAGCCAATGTGACAACTGGAGGTTGCAACACTTAAAGCAGCTGTTTGAGCCAAATGTCAGCACTCGATTTTTGAAACAGATGCAAAAGAGTTCAACATTTTGGGAAACTGGCTTAAGTCGCTTCCTTGCAGAAAGTCACACAAGAAGATCGATACCACTGCCAGCCACCCGTTAGCTTAGCTTAGCATAAAGACAAGAAACAGGTAGCGGTGCAACAGATTACAGAACTTTAGATTGCATCACAATTTTTGAGTCACAGACTGGACCATTTTAACTTTGTGTCTGGCACTGTAATTACGCATCAAGATTTCACTTTTCAGTTTGCCTATCTGTCAAAAAGCAGGATTACACCAAAACTACAAAGTGAAGATCACTTTCTTGTTATGCTAAGCTAAGCTAATTGGCTGCTAGCTCTGGCTTCTTATAACAAAAACACGACTTGAGTGGTATCAAGCTTCTAATCTGACCCTCAGCAAGATAGTGAACAAGCAGATTCACCAAAAAAAAAAAAAATCCTAACTACTTCTTTGAAACTTTGTGACATTTTAAGCACTATGAATGAGACCATTACCTAACAAAAAACCTTTGAACCCCAAAAGCTGCCCTCGGTTTTCAAAGGCATGCTATCTTCACAAAACTTGCCAAAATTACATCATTTATCAGAGCAAGAAACTGTACAAACAGACAGAATTCTTCAACTTCACGATGATCCTTGCATGTGTGAACTTTGGTTTTGTCGGGAATGCCAACCAAGCTAAGCTTAAAATAATCATATTTCATGAAAATCCCTTTAGTCTACATGTCTAATTAAAAGAAATTGCCATAAATAAATCAGTTGCATGAACCAGATAGTGTAAAAAAATAAAATAAAATAAATGTTGTGCTTCTCGGCACAACTAAGAAGCAATAGGGACTCAGCTGTAACCAACGATCTCATAAGAAAATTCAGGGACTTTTGGGCTGAACTGCAGGCTGTGTTTAAACAAAGCAGAGAGGAAGCATGTCTCAAGCAACAAATAAAAAGTGTAATTTGTGAAATTTCATCAGCATACAGAGCCACCTTTCCCCCCAGTATTCAAAACATCTGTGGACGCTTTGAAAAATGTTGTAACTTTCATGTTTTTTTTATGATTTATGTTTCATACTGCACAAAATACATTTTTGAATTCTCCCTACTTGTAGTCATGGTCGTGCTGTTTCCATAGAGGTGCATGACTTTACATTGCAGTGAAAAATGAGCCCACAGTGAGCAAAAATGTGTCTGGGCATCAGAGGGTTAAACTGGTATCAAGGTTAAAATTTGACCTACTTTGACTGAGAAATCATTTTATGGTTCAGTTTCCAGCGTGTTCAGGTGGAACATTTTCTGCTTCAGAACCGGCTCAGTGTAAAAAAAAAAAAAAAAAACATTTTCTAATTATAACAAACATCCAGAACCTCCAAATAAAAAGTGTTTCTCATGCAGTTTCAGATTTTCCATTGAGGTCAAAGTCTTGCCTCTGGTTTCCTACTTGTGCTGAGGACCGGACTGTGGCAGAACAGAAGGAGGATCTGCTCAGACTGCGAGCTTTCAACAGTGCAACTGCTGCAAATCTATATATATTTATATTATCTTAGAAGAGAAGAAACGAACAAAAAAAAAAAAAGGAGAGAAGAGAAGTGTATGTGTACATCTGAGCCAAAAGCTCTCATTATTCAAGGCTGGCTGCTCACCACAGCCATCCCAGCCCACTAAAACAGCTGTCATTTTCATCTCTGGGGTCAGTTTGCGTTGCACAAACGATGACCTGCTGTTTGCTTTTGTCTGCCGCAGAAGCATTTGTTAAGGTGCAAAACACGAAGACCTCCCCCCCATCCCCGTTTTTTTTTTTTTTTTCCCTGTATACCACAGCGTCAATAACGCCGTCGGTTTTAAATCTTGGTAAATTTATGATCGATGTTATGAGGAGAAATTTAATTCGCCCCAGGAACCGCAAGCTCATTAAAACATGCAAGTTGTCATGGGGAGGCCACCCCAGAAAACAATCTTGTAGATGTGGTTGCAAACACACACACACACACAAACACACACACACACACAGAGAAAGGGATGA